AATGTAAATCAAGTATATAAATTTGGTTATCTATTCTGTGAACATTTTGAAGTTATTGAAATATTTTCGAATAAATTTTTTATTATTCATTATTATTGATCTATTTTTTAAATTTCATTGATGAAGTATTTGTTCTAGAAAAAGCACAGTGAAATCAATAATCAGAGTAATATAATAGATTTCTTACTTGAACTTATTGGTAGTTTGTATTTCACAATCATTGATCGTGCATGAAAATCGACTACAAAGTTATTGAGCTTAGTACTGATTTGTATTCTGAGCAAATAATCATTCAAATTGAAGTACACTGATCTCTTATAATAAAAAATTGCGATTTTCAAATACCTCCTAGTTTTAAATATTCATTTGAATTTTTATAGGAGCATTGTATTCAACTGAATAAGGTTAGTGCATTCTGTAAAGTTTCTGGAACAGCTCAATTTGGATATGTCGAATATCTGCGGGTGTTTCTCCATTCTCCCTCCTGATTGGATATTTGGTACTAACGCTAAATATTATTTATGGTTAAACTTTATCCCATGTATCTTGGGCTGAACATTGGTTGAATTATGCAATTGGTACGTAATCTATACTTACGTTTTAAAAGGACACATACATTCATTCCTTAAATGGGATATTATATCTCCTAAATAGTGGTGAAACATCTGAAGTTTAAGTTGAGCCTATCACTCCGAAAAAGGTTTACACCGTGATTAATTTTGGAAGATGAGGACAGAAACCCATGCTTTATATTTTCATTTCTCATATATCGAAATATCAATTTTTTTGAAATGTTTGTGGATAATTGATACATTAATTATTATATAAGATGTATTTAAATATTTGATGAAATTGCCAGAAATATTTCCAACATATTACTAAACATTAATGTTACTAGAGAAAGTTCTTTTCGCAAGTATCGTAGCAGTTATCTTACTTTGGTTTTTCAAAACTCCCCAATAATTATACTTGTATTATAGAGGCTTTATTAATTATATTGGAAAGCAGTACAATTATACTTTGCATAATTAACTGTATTATTTTCACCTACTGCTCGAAGTTATTTAAATTATGCATGCTTTTTGGATTAATTTTGTATTAGTATACCTGAAAGTATTGACCCAATTTCAATATTTGAGTTATCTTAGATTTGTACTCTTACTTTTGTTAGTGCAGTTACATTACCTATGTTCTCAAACCTACAATTATAATTTCCTAAACCAATTGCTTTTCAAATTCAAAATAAATTGATGAAATGTAACTCAATAAATGTAACATACTCAATAATATCATACTGCATTTTACTTGCTGGAAGAATATTACTAGTAAATTCGATTTCTTAAATTTTAAAAATGTACTGAAATTTTAATTCCATAGTGATACATGCAGGCTAAATTTGCTAATTATATTCAATTGGGAGGTTTCAGTTTTTACAGTTATATTATGTTTATTTTCAAAAGTAGTAGACATTTATGCAATTCAGTAGGTAAAGAATGGGGGTGCACCGTGCCGAGTGACCTCGACCTTGAAAAGGTAGGCGTGGTGGGGGTAATGGGCGGAGTCGACCTTGAATCAGTGGTGGGGTTTGACCTTCGGCCCTGAATCAGTGGAAGGGTTAATGGTGGGGATTGACCTTGAAGTCGATTGGTCAGGTACGGCCTTGAGAATTTCCGGCACATCTTCGTCACTGTACGCGTTATCATTGCGTAGAAATCTTCAAATCCATGATATTCCAGGAACTCGATATAATCATTAATCAACTCCTGTAAAGATAGTAATTCACATAGAGTTTCTCTTCCTATGTAAACTTGACTTCTTTCATTTCTCGCACCGAGAATACATTTGTTATTGATATTTATGAAGAAAAGGGTAATGTTATTAATTTTCTTGAATTCCTGTGAAACTTTAGATAAATTCCTCAAAATAAATTCTTCACTCTTCAATAGTTCACGAAAATCTTCGGTAGTGAAATCAATGTGATGTCCCTTCAATGATGAACCACTGATTCTCACAACTGCTTTGAATTGGTGCGACAGACCCACAGACACATACTTTGTTTTCGATTTATTGATGAAAAATACTTTTGAACACAACATGTATGGTTCGAATACATTGGGTATTGCTTCCGAACTCATATTTATCGATATTATTCAAACCAACTTCTGAACTGAAGGAATGAATGCTGTCCTCTCATTATATACTGTATAATGTCCTTGAATATTGATGGTGGGGGGGTTTAATAAGCTGACCTTGAGAAATTATAGAGAGAAAGGGACAATCTAACCTTGAGAATGCATAAAGGTGTGAGGATTCAACAAATGAATAAGTTGGGAACATTGACAAAAATATTACATTGAAAAATTATGATGTATTGGATTGAGAATTGCCTATATTGCCTGAAGTATTTAATTGCTGGTGTGTAAGCACTAGATTGCATCGAACACATTTTGCTTGACTTACAGGCGGACCATCAATATGCGTGTTTTCATCCGGTCGATTATAATGAATGAAGCATGGTAAGAGTGTCTGCAGTTTGAATGTTTCCATCATTGGTTTAGAAAGCTTATGATAAATTTCGAGAATCTCATACCATCTCAATTTCTTCACTAAATAGTCTACAGGAAAATATTTCAAATTTTCAGCACTGAAATCGGTGATATTTTTACCCATATATGCGTGTTCTAAAACAACAAGTTTAGATTTTGGAAATAATCTAAACATTATTTTCTCAGGTAGAGTTATATTATTTAATAACCATTTCCTAAATTCTTCACTTAAACGTACTAAATCTTCACAACAAACACACAATGTTGTTTTTTCACTCAGAAATGCATCACAAATGATTTTAGCTTCGTTTGTTATTCTTCTATCAGTTATTTCCAAATCCATACTCCGATTGTACTTTTTAATCTCACCATCCAATTTATTAAGTTGACATTCCATCATTTTCTTCAAATTTTTCATTCTATAGATAATTTCAATATTATCCATCTATAAAGTATTGCAACGATATTCGAAACAGTCCCTAGGTTCGATTTCACTCACTGACAACAGCGATTTTTCACAGAGTCCACAATTTTGTCCAAAAAGCTTGATATAGTGATGTAGGTTGGATTTTTCAACGATCGTGTCAATTTTATGCGTACTCACAATTGTGTGCTCGCCAATGGTAGATTCCTGTTTCTTGGATTCAAAACACCATGTACACAAAACTTTGTGTGTCACGAATCTTATCAACTCGCCAGAATGATCACAGTAATGGCCTAATTGATTATTATATATGATTTCAGAAAAACTTATTCCACCTGAACTTTGCACTCTAAAATACATAACAGATTGAAATATAACCACACTTTGTTTGAATGAGTTGCTTCAGCATTAATTCGCGGAAATATATAAGATCGGTAGTGCCGGAAATTCTCAAGGCTACACCTGACCAATCGAAATCGAAATCAATCCCCACCATCAACCCTCCCACTGGTTCAAGGCCGAAGGTCAATACCCACCACTGATTCAAGGTCGACTCCGCCCATTGCCCCCACCACGCCTACCTTTTCAAGGCCAAGGTCACTCGGCACGGTGCACCCCCATTCTTTACCTACTCAATTCTACTAATATAATAAAAGTTTCAAAATCCAGAATTATCTGAATAATCATGGATGCAATTTACGCAATTTTTCATTGGGTTGGAAATAAATTTAGAATTTATTTAAATACTGTATGATTCATGTTAACTGAAAATTATTTTTAATAGTAAAGTAAAGTTTTTGTTTATTGATTGAATTAAAGATTGATATTTTTGAGATTAGTGGAAGTGTAGCTTCTTTATAGTGTTCTCTAAAAGTCTGAAAAATCATAGTAACTATAATTTTCGTAGAAACGGAAAAGTTATCAATTTAGTTTTTTTGGTCCAATAAAAAGTTGAGATTATGGAGTTACATTTTACATTTTCTCCCAATTAAGTATGTATAACACAATATCAGATTTTAACAAGTGCTCTGTATCAAATTCAAAATAAATAGTGGACTCCAAAATTCAAATGTTAATAAAATAGACGTGAGTAGGTACCTAACGCACAAAAAGAAAAAATGCTAGGCCGTATCATTAAATTCAGATTGGTAGTTTTCATGGGTCTGAACTTTGTCTACTAAATTAGTTTTTTCATTTTTATATTTCTATTTTTTTCTTGATAGTACCACCAAGAATTTTAAATATATTTTTAGGTTTATAATTGATAAAAATACTGCAAGCAATGGTCTACATACAGACGTTCTTCATGAAAATAAAACATCTCATCATTTAATGAATGTTTACTATATTTTTAAGAAATGTTTTATGAAAAAACAGATTAAGTATTTGTAAATAAAACTTTCACTTTTTGACATTCTGTTAGTCGTTTTCCATTTAAAATTTTATTGAAGTTTTACTTCTGATTAGAAATAATCATACGCATATGTAATTGAAAATATCGCTATTCTATTTTTGTAATTTGCCTATATTGCTGACAGTTTGATGAACTTAAATGGGAAATTATTTTAATAAATGGTTATATGTGTGATTATGTTAAAACAGGACTGTATGTATTTTGTAAATACTAATTATACTAGGAATCAATATAGAATTTATAGAATAAAATGTTTCCATATTTTCGAAACCTATTCCACTAGTGTATATATACGTATATATATATATATATATATATATATATATATATATATATATATATATATATATATATATATATATATATATATATATATATATATATATATATATATATATATATATATATATATATATAAAAGAAAGTCGTGTTAGTTACACTATTTATAACTCAAGAACGGCGGTACCGATTTGGCTAAAAATTGGTGAGGAGGTAGCTTAGGGCCAGGAGACGGACATAGGATACTGTTTATCCCGTTCCCGTGTGACTTGACATCAAATCTCAGTCACTATAATATACTGGTTAAATCTGATCTTTTTTTAGTTCAAATTAACAAGCATCGCTGGTTCAGTGGTAGAATGCTTGCCTACTAGGCGAGCGACATGGGTTCGATTTCTGGTCGATACATATTAAGTTTTTTTACTTCAATGACAAAAGTTTTCTCTAATTTCATTCATTACTCACATGTATTGAAGTAGTGTATATAAAAACCAGTTTTATGAGTTACCAAATACTTTGCATAATTATAAAGCACTCAAATATTTAATTCATATAAAAAACTAATACTGTATTGAAAACAAAACACATTATGTTATTTTGAAATATATTCAATTAATTGTTAAATTTAGGTCAATGACACTTCTGTTCTTTGAAAATTTTATCATCCATATATATATATATATATATATATATATATATATATATATATATATATATATATATATATATATATATATATATATATATATATATATAAAGTTGTGTATATGTACACTATTTGTAACTCAAGAACGGATGGACTGATTTGGCAGACTTAACTGAAAATTGGTAAGTACGGCTACGGTCCAAACTGATTGGAAGGTAGCTTAGAACCAAGAGAAGGACATAGGATACTTTTTATCACGTTCCCGTCGGGCGTGACATGATACGTGGTGTTACAAAACGGATATACCACAACAAGGATAATTTTGCTGGAAGGCATTTTACATCAAATTCATGTCAGTACAAGAAATCCCGACCTTCAGATGAATGAGGAGATAAATAATCGGGCTTTGAAATTGATGGAAGACATGTGTTACCTCATGTTCGGTAATTTATTAGTAAGGTTAGGAATGAAAAAAGACAAATCGTGAAATGAATGACGCATTCAATCAAGAATTTGAACGGGAACTTTCCTTTTGACTTGAATATGATCACCAGGAATTAGATTTTATTCTTCAAACGAATGTACACCTGTTGGATCACCAACAAAAGGAAGTTTATGATACAATGCTGAACGCAATTGATGATGGAAATGTTCTTCTAGATTTCCTGGATGCCCCTGGTGGAACTGGACATTCCTCATGTCAGTAGTTTCAGCCATTATTAGTGCGAGATCTAACATTGCGGTTGACGATACTCAAAGCAAAATTCGAAGGTGAGGAAGTTGTCATTCCAAGGATCCCGATGATACCAATCGACATGACGAGTTGCATTCGCCATGACATTAAACAAATCACACGGCCAATGCTTAAAAGTTTGTGGTCTGAATCTAGAAAATCCATGTGTTTCCCAGGGTCAATTACGATTATATGTGGCATGTACACGGGTGGCAAGACCATCTGCGTTATTTGTTCATGCACCTGATAATAAATTAAAAAATGTCGTCGATCACAAAGTGCTTCACTAAAGAGTGGAATTCATGCAGTTCAATATATGGCCAATGAAGAATCATTAAAATATTTGCTTTTTTAATTAACATTAATTAATCCGAATAAAAAATTGACCTTGATAAATTCGAAAGTCCGCTCATTTATTGCCTCTAAGGTGGAACAAAGTTCGCCGGGGCAGCTAGTATATATATATATATATATATATATATATATATATATATATATATATATATATATATATATATATATATATATTGTCACTCTACAAGACAATAGCCTCATTGTTATCTATTTCTGCTGACTTCAGCAATTTGTAAAAAGCTATATAAAGAGAAGCAGAATGACGCTCAAATCAGTTCAGATCGGCCGTCCTTATTGTTAACATCGATCTTAAAGTTCAGATCGGCCGTTCATATTGTTAACATCGCTCTTAAAGTTTTAGATCGGTCGTCCTATTGTCAACATCGGTTCCGTCAGTTCAGATCAATCAATTAATTAATTAATTCAATCATTCATTCTTTGTTAATTACGTATTCAAATTCGGTTATATCAGTTGTTCAATCTTGTTATTCAATATTAATAAATCAATCTAAATCCAGAACCTCTTATCAAATATCACAAGTGCTAAATCCTCAGAACCTCTAATAAAGTGCTAAATATTCAGAATCTCTAAATAAGTGTAAAAGTGATCAATATTCAGAACCTCTAATATAAAGTGCGTTAGTGATTGCGCATTCCAGAACCTCTTATTCAACACTATCATAAGTGTAATCCAAAGGTTTTACGGAGCTTCACATCAAAAAAGCTGCCCTGGTGACAGCTCCTCTGCTTCTTCTTGTATAAGTGTGTATTTCAGGAGGAATACAACACAAAAACTGGTGACAAGCGACGGGATACCTAATGGAGACCTACACAAATATCTGAAGATATAGCTAGGTTACAGTCAGAATTTTAAAAGATTTGAGTGGAATCAACCCATTCGACGAAGAAAATTTTCCTGACTTCTCCATGAGCATAGCTCTTAATAAGAACCATCCACAGCCTTCAAGCCAAACTGCTACCCTCTTCTGTAACTGAATCCAAAGATTCACCGGACTATCGGAGTCTACGCAGAAGAAACCACCTGTGTAACTGGATCCTAAGATTCACCGGACTATTGGAGTCTACGCACGGGTTCAAATTCCTAAATCTTCAACGAAATCGTAAGTTAATTTCTTTTTATCGCCAATATCTATATAATTGTTCTCAAGTGTAATCAATATTCTCAAATATCCTTTCAATATGTCTCATCCTGAAATCAAACATAATACTGATGATCTGACTGACGATGAAACTCCTCAATTCTTTCCAATTACAGTGCTTTTTACATTCATAAAATCTCATGACGGCAATAGATCGGAACTCAATACTTTCATTCAAAATACAAACTCAGCCTTCTCATTAGCGGCATCAAATCAAATCGATAGCTTATTATTGTATGTTGTTTCTCAACTTTCGGCTAATGTAGTTAACGAATTAGAATTATCTGATGTTACGTCTTGGTACCAATTGAAAACTCTCTTAAAACAATTTTATGGTCAAAGGAAACATTTAGTTCAAACTCATTAAGAACTTGAAACTATTAGACAAGCACCTCATGAAAATATTACAGATTTCTTTAAAAGATTAGAAAAAATTAAAAATGAATGTATCCAATCAGAAATTCTAAATTGTACACATCCTGATGAACTTCCTGGTCTCAAAAAATCTATTCAAAGAACAGCTCTTCGTAGATTCATTATTCATTTTAAACCTGAAATCAGTCAAATGCTAAGAGCTAGAAATATAGGCGATTTTAATGAAGCGTATTCCATAGCACTTCAAGAGGAGAAAATAATCAATTATACTAAATCGAAATCTAATAATTTCTATAGAAATTCTTATCCAAATCCTAATTCTATATCTTTTCAAAGGAATTTCCAAACTCAGAATGAAAAAAGTAATTCTTATTCTTATCACAAGAATCCAAATAGCCAAAATCAATATCATCAAACTCCTAAATCTTCTAATTCAAATAATTATCCAAGAAATAATTCAAATCAATATTACAAGAATCCTAACTCAAGTAATTATCAAAGGAATAATTCAAACAATTTCAGTGACCCATCAAATTCTAAACAAATTCGTCCTCCATTCAATTCAAATGCTCAATCTCTCAAAATATGTAATTATTTTAAAAGATCGGGACATGTTATATCTGATTGTAGAAAGCGACAATTTAATAATTCTAAAATAAATCATTTAAACGGGGAAACGTTGGGCCTGAAGAATGTCCAGGATTCCGACGAAACTATTCTAGAGGCATTCAACTAAATCCTGAAAATTTTAATAATAATATTCAATCAAATTCTTTTCCTGAAAAATTACAATTCTTGTCTTTTAAAATTCCTAATTCTTCACAAAATCATGTCACATTTCTTATTGATACAGGAGCTACCTTTTCCATTATAAAGCATGACTCAGTTATTCCTTCTCAAACTCATTCAGACAAAAATGATATAGTCTTATTACATGGAATGAATCCTAATATGCCACTTAATACTCTTGGGACAACAGAACTCTCTTTATCTGTATCAAATTTCTCATTCAATCATAAGTTCAATGTTATAAACGCAGCAAAAATTCACACTTATTACGACGGTTTACTAGGTAATGATTTTTTCCAACAACAAAAGGCCATTCTTAATTATTCAGACAAAGTAGTCTTCATAAACGATCATATTATACCTTTCAACAATGTTATCAACGAAGATAAGTTAATCATTCCTCCACGTTGCGAAATTGTTGCAGAAATTAATATAGCAAACAAAAGCAAATTAAAACAAGGGCTCATTGAGAAAATGATGATTTGCGATAAAGTCTTTATTCCAGATACTCTAGTCATCAATAATAATTCTAAAGCTTGTATTCCAATTCTTAATTTGAATGCATCAGAAATCACAATAACCAGACCAACACTAGAATTAATTGAAATCTCACCAGAAAAATCTATCAATCTAAATCATTCATCAAATTTCAATCAACTTCAATCTAAGAAAGATACTTTTCAAAGAAATAAAATCCTTCAAGAAAATTTACGTCTAAATCATTTAAATCAAGAAGAAAAATAATCAATTACTAAAATTTGTCAAAAATATTCCAATTTATTTTATCTACCAGACGATTATTTAAATTCGACATCAACTCTAAGGCATGAAATTCCAACTACTTCAAATATTCAAATCTCTTCAAAAATATATCCTTTACCAAAAATTCATGAAAAAGAAGCAAATACAGAAATTCAGAAAATGCTTGAAAAAATATAATTAGACCTTCTAATTCACCATGGAATTCACCTATTTGGATAGTTCCAAAGACAAAAGACGCATCCGGACAACAAAAATGGCGTTAAGTCTGTGATTTTAGAAAATTCAATGAAATCACAATTGGTGATAGTTATCCTCTTCCTAATATCTCGAATATTTTAGATCAGCTAGGTAATGCAATTTATTTTTCCACTTTAGAAGAAAAAGATAAATTCAAAACAGCGATAGCTACTCCTTCAGGACTTTATGAATTCAATAGAATGCCTATGGGATTAAAAAACAGTCCAATTCGTTTAGCTCGATTAATGAATATCGTTTTATCAGGCCTTCAAGGTAGTCAATGTTTTTGTTATTTAGACGATATAGTTGTATATGGTTCATCACTAGAAGATCATAATTCGAAATTAGAGAA